ACGGGGAGGGCACGGGAGGAAGCTGGGACCGCGGGAGGGTCTGGGAGGCTGGGGAGGAGGACCAGGCCCTGGGAAGCAGGAGGGACAGGAGGAGAGGAGAGCGCCTGCCCAGAGTGACCTCTGCCCCGGCCGCGTCCAGCCCGGCACCATCGAGCAGGCCGTGGAAGAGATCCGCGCCGTTGTCCGGCCCGTGGAGGACGGCGAGATCCAGGGGGTGTGGCTGCTGACCGAGTAAGCGAGCCTCCGGTGTTGGGGGGGAACTTCCCGTGACCAGGCCCTGCGAACCACTGGAACACCCCCCTGAGAAGACCAGGGCCGTGTTTGCTCAAGAGGGTGGGAACAGGTGACTTGTCTTCACCTCTAGGGTGGACCACTGGAACAACGAAAAAGAGCGTCTGGTGTTGGTCACTGACCAGTCGTTGCTCATCTGTAAGTACGACTTCATCAGCCTTCAGTGCCAGCAGGTGGTCAGGGTGGCACTCAGTGCAGTGGACACCATCTCCCACGGAGAGTTCCAGTTTCCCCCCAAATCTCTCAACAAGTGAGTGCATTCAAAGAAGCCCTTATCTTGCCGTTGGGACCATTGTGACCTTAGAACTCAGCTCTTTTAAACCCCTAGGTGGTAGTCCTGTGTCTGCTGTTCTGTGTAAGCTAATGATCTCAGCCTGAAGGATGGAGAGAAAGATCCTTAAAATAGAAGCAAGTGACTTTCTGGGAGTGGAGTGCTTACTGAGAGGGATTTTGGCATGAAAGACACCTTTTAGGCTTGCAGTGGAAGTGGTTTAACTGGGTTTCAGATACATCCCAGCAGAGCTACTGTCAAAAGTGAACTTGGATGTTCCTCAGGGCATTTTATCTCCATCCAAGGAAAGATTACATGTTCAAGCCCAGTGATTTTGTTGGTTGATTTTTTTTAAGAGTGCCAATTTAATTTATAGATATTACTAAGGGTGGATATATTTGCAAATATCTGGGGGTAGCCAAGCACAGAGGCACACACCTATTATCCCAGCCACTTTGGAGGCTGAGATAGGAGGATTGTGAGTTTGAGGACAGCTTAGGCAACTTAGTGAGACCCTATCTCAAAGTAAAAAGTTAAAAACAAAAAAAGGGCCAGGGATGTAGGTCAGTGGTAGACCACCCCTGGGTTTAGTCCCCAATACCACCAAAAAAGAAAAAGAAAAGAGGAAAAAAAATATCTATTGCTCAACTTTCAAGAACTGATCATCTTGGGGCAGGGGTGCTGGCTCAGCGGTAGAGCACTCGCCTAGCATGTGTGAGACCCTGAGTTCGATCGTCAGCACCACATAAAAATAAATAAATAAAATATATTGTGTCAACTACAACTAAAAAATATTTTTTAAAAAGAATTGATCATCTTTAATAGGAAAAAACCTAAACTGTAAAATTCAGAGGTTTTATTTTGCACCCAGCTGCAATTTAGAGTTTGATGTAGAGATTTGAATGGAGAATTCAGTGAGCCAACATGATTAAAAATTTTAGCCAGCATTTAATAATGCAGTAAAGAAACAGCAAAGTTATGAACATTAATCACGGGCTAGACTATCTGTGATGTATTTCTATTAATTTTTAATGCATAAGTAAAGATAAAGTTTAGATAAACAAGACAATATATTTAACTTGTCATATTTAAAAGTCCTTAAGCCAAAAAGCTGGGCATGGTGGTGTACATCTATAATCCCCAGCTACTTGGGAGTCTGAGGAGGGAGGATCATGAGTTCAAGGCCAGCCCGGGTAACAGTGACACTCAAAGCCACTTTTGGTTGGAAAGTGTCTCGGGTCTTCCTGGGGATACAGAGCTACATTAACTGCTGCTTTTCGTCTCTGACGGGTGAGAGAGCCTCCTCCTGTGGTGTTGAAGATGGCTGTTTGTTCTCCTGTGTCAGGCGAGAAGGCTTTGGGATTCGCATCCAGTGGGACAAGCAGAGTCGTCCTTCTTTCATAAACAGATGGAACCCCTGGTCCACGAACGTGCCCTACGCCACTTTCATAGAGCACCCAATGGCTGGTGTGGATGAAAAGACGGCTTCCCTGTGCCAGGTGAGCAGGTGGTCAGCAGCCACTGCAGCTGTCGTGGCCAGCAGTGGAGAGAGGTCTGTGTCATCCAGTCTTGTGGCCACAGGCCGCGGTGCGAGCTGGAGGAATGCCTGCTGACCATGAGGAAGTAAAAAGCTTTTGGTTAGGGCTGGGGCTGGGGCTCAGCAGTGGAGCGCTCACCTAGCACTGCGCAGCCCTGGGTTCGAGCCTCAGCACCACATAAAAAATAAATAAATAAAGGTGTTCTGTCCAACTGCAACTAAAAAAAAATATTTTAAAAACTTTATTCTGGTTAAGCTATGCACTTTGGTGCCCACTTGTAATCCTAGTGATTCTGGAAGCTGAGGCAGGAAGATTGCAAGTTTAATGCCAGCCTGGGCTACTTAGCAGGACTCTGTCTCAAAATAAAACGAAAAGGCCCAAGAATGGAGCTCAGTGGCAGAACGCCCTGGGTTCCTTTCCCATTACTGGGAAAAAAAAAAATTATTTCGTTTGTGTGTGAGGAGCCCTGTATGACTGCTGGTCTGTAACATGGCCCCTTGCTGCTGCTGATTCTCTTGGAGAACAGCCCAGACACACGGTAGGGAGTAGCAGCCGGCCCGCCATGTTGAAGACACTTAGTGTGGGTGCTCCCTGGGCCTCAGGCCAGGTTTGGAGCAGAGATGGGTTGGGTGCCTTGCACCTGGGAGCCTGCCTAGGATGAAGTGGGCCTCTGTGGCAAAACACTTGCCCCCCTCCACAGTCCTGTCGGGAGGAAAGGCTGATGTCTAAACCCACGAGCACAATGGCAGGTGTCACGCCAATCAGAGAGCCACGCTGAGGGCTGTGGAGGGACTCCCAAGAAGTGGCCGAGAGGAGTCTTGTCAAGTGAGGGCCCTGAGGGGCTCAACAAAGAAAAAGGCACACACCACAGAGTCACGTTGTGCCACAGCAGCCTGCTCACACAGCAGTGGTGGGCACCGGGGCAGACAGCTGCAAACATGGCATCACCGCCTGCGGTCCAGGACGCGGTGCCGGGCAGCAGTACCCAGGACTGGCTTACGTGCCTGTTTTTCTCTGATCAGCATTTAGAGGGTGCTTCTCCCTACAGTGTGCAGTGAAGCAGTGTACCACACCGGCACCCGAGTGACCTGCGTACTGGTTGTATAAGTACTGCGATATTCTCAAAATGAAATCACTTAAAAGACGTTTTTTAGAACATCTCATTGCCTGTGTGTGTGTGTTTTGAGAGAGTTAAATGTCTCAAAATGCCGATTTTTCCATTTAACAGATCACTCTTTTGTTGCTTGAAGCTCCCTGTTTTTTTCTCTTTGAAGTTGGAAAGCTTCAAGGCTCTGTTAATCCAAGCTGTCAAAAAAGCCCAGAAAGAGAGTCCTCTGTCAGGACAAGCAAGCGGTGTGCTGGTCTTGGAGCGGCCCCTGCTCATCGAGACCTACGTGGGATTGATGTCCTTCATCAACAACGAGGCCAAGCTGGGTTATTCCATGACCAGAGGCAAGATTGGCTTCTAGACAGCTCAGCGTGGAGCCATCCCCAAGGAAAGCCTTGTTGAGTGGGACTCGGGAACGCGGGAGACCTCAAGCCAGCCCGCTGCTACTGGAGGGAGGACCGGGGTGGCCACCTTTGGGGATCTGAGTGTTATTAGCATGGTCCAGTGAATTCCTTAGTGAGCTACAGAGAGGGGCAGAGAGACGTAGCTGACCTCGAGCTGCTGCCGTTCGTGTCCCCTCGAGTGCCCATTAGCTTCTTGTGGTTTCCTGCCCAGCCCCTGCAGCATGCTTCGAGTCTGTGGGCGCATCTGCGCGCCTCGCTGTGTAGACCTCAGTATGGGGAGGAGCCTGGCATCTCCAGTGCCTGCACTTGCACATGTGTTTACACTCATGTCAAATTTTGTATTTTTGAAATTTTATCCATTTTTTTAAGCAAAATACAAAAGCAGCCTACAGACTGGTCACAGCAGTCTGTACCTTGTCAGAGCCTAGCGGACAGTTGTTTTTTGTAAATATGGTTGACCTACAGTTGTATGTTTTCTAAAATTAATCCAAGTTGTTAATACTTTTTCCCCAGGCCCAAAAAAGGTTTACAGAGAATCATTTAACACAATTTGTTGAGGAATTGCACATAATTTTGACAACTATAGGTATCCTCAGCTTTTGTTATTTTGTTCATGTTTAAAAGGGAAATAGGTAGTTTGCTCTTTAAAGGATGCACTTTAAAGCAAGGATGAGTTAGATTCCCAGAGACACGCTGCCACCCTGGCTCCTGCAGCCCGTAGGTTCCAGGTGCCATCAGTCTCCCAGCCCATGCCTAGTGGGGCTGCAGCACTCGCGACTTGAGCGCTGGCTCCTCAGTCTCCTCCTCCTCACTTACAGCTCTGTCATGGCTTTACGCTTGCTGGCACGGATGCGACCGGGACACGTGGCCTCTCCAGTGGAAGGCTGTCTCAAAGCACCCAGGTCTTCAGCCTTCACTTGCAGTCTTGTAGTAAAGATGTTTAGAACCAAATGGATGTTGCTGTTTTTTGAGGTTATTGTCATTAAAATTAGTGCCCAGCCAGGGGAGCAGCTCCCCAGTGAGTCTCCAGCCTCAGCTTTGAAGGTCTGTCTGCGGGCTCTGCAGGAGCAGGAACAGGATCCTGCCTGGCACGTCTCCATGAAGAGACACAGTGCGGGCAGCTGGGCAGCCCTCCCAGCGCCCCTGGTGCTCCAGCCGCTGCCTGCCAGCTATCATCCCCTTGAGGGGGACCCAGGAGAGCCCTGCCCTCAGGTGCTTGTCCCCCTCACTCCAGAGTACACCCTACCACAGGGCAGGCACACCCATGCCCTCCTGAAAAGAACCCAAAGTAGCCATGGCAGTGGGGTGGGCTCTGCAGCACAGCGTCCCTCCCGTCCTGAGACGGCCCAGCAGCTCGGCCTGACCTGGAAAACCTGCCGTGATGGCACTTCAATTAGCAAATATTTATTTTAAATAATGAAAATTACAGCTTTATACCACACATATTTACAAAACCCCCTTGCTACAGAAAATCAGAGTCAAGTCACTGAGCCAGCACATCACAGCCGGAGAGCTCCCAGGGGAACCTCTTCCTTCCCAGATCAGGGACATGGAGTCCCTGCTGAGGGTTCCACCAGGGCCTACGCATGGCTGTCCCGTTGTTCCAAAGCTGTGTGGACCCCCTCTTCAGTGCCCAGGAAACAGAGACAGAAGTGATCCTTACTGAGGAGGGCCAAGGAGTCCCCACTTGAATGCCAGCACAGAGAAAGCACCGGAAAGTCACCTAGAGACAGAAAAGGGTAGCCAGAGGATTAGAGCAGAGAGATGAGGATCCCTGGGGAAGGCAGCCTGTACCCCACGGGCAAACAGAAGGGACCTGGGTGCCCCAGATGGGTGAAGCCAGGCAGAGCTCAAAGCCACCATCCACCCTATGAAGCTTAGGGTGGTGGGTCCTGCCAGGTGTGCACACTGGGCACAGGCCTTGAAGTTTCCTGGAAGACGTGGAGGAGCTCCCCCGCGCAGCAGAGGGCCTGGCAGCTGCCCCAGAGGCTGCAGCTCACGCCCACCGGATGCACTCACCCTCCCCAGGCACCTGCACCGACACGCAGCCCGCCGGCGACCACAGGTAGACCTTGCTGCCGCCTGTGCAGATGGCCAGCCGAGGCTGCTGTGGGTCCCACAGGAAAGAGCGCACGGGGGCCAGCTGCTCCAGCACCACGAGGAGCCTGAGCTTCTGGATGTCCCAGACCCAGACGGTGTTGGGGACATTGTCTGCGAAGGAAGAAATGACAGGGCATCATGTCATCTGTGCTCTGCTGACCCTAGGTAGCCTGGCCCCTCTGCAAGCAAGCCCTGGAGAGGTCAGTGTTCCTGAGCCTGCTTCAGAGGACCAGGGTTCCAGAGCAAAGCGCAGGCTTCAAAGACCACCCACCAGTGTTCTTCTTTGGCTTTGTTGTAAGAGCTGCCACCATTAATTAAAAAAAAAAAAAGAACCAGGCCTACAGGGCAGACTGCCTGCCCTATGCCCTCTTCTTTCTTCTTTTTTTTTGGGGGGGGGGGGGTGGGATACCAGGGATTGAACTCGGGGGCACTCGACCACTGAGTCACATCCCGAGACAGGGTCTGAGTTGCTTAGCGCCTCGCCGTTGCTGGCATTGAACTCATCTCCTCCTGTCTCAGCCTCCCCAGCGATTGCTGAGGCTGGCTTTGAACTCGATCCTGTTTCAGCCTTGCCAGCTGCTGGGATCGAAGGCGCGTGCCACTGCGCCTGGCGCCTGTTCTTTCTTAAGGAGGAAGGAGTGTGCAGAGGCCAAGGTACTGCTGCTGACTCACTGGCCTGCTGCCTCCTCAAAGATAAGCTGGACTCCTGAGGGGCCTCTGCGGCAGGACACTGCATCTCGCCAGGCAATCGGAGCCCACGCACGGCCCCCTCACTTGCTTTGCCTTTCCCATGGTTTCTACCCCTGGAGCGTGGGGCACAGCAGGTGGACACCAGCGCACACTGACCATTCCTTGTGGCCAGGAAGTAGCTGTCAGCACTGAAAGCCAGCATCCCCACGCCCATCCTAGGGTTCGCTCTGTCGGTGGCCGGCTTCAGGGTCTGCAGGGAAACTGGCACAGAGGCGATCTCATCTGGAACGTCACAAGGGAGAGATGCTGAGCTCGCCTGAGTCGGCTACAGCACGGAGGCCCGGGGAACTCCCCCCGGGGACAGTAGCACCACTGCCTGCCAGGCCTGGATGTCCCAGACCCATACAGTGTTGGGGACATTGTCTGGTAAGGAAGAAATGACAGGGCATCATGTCATCCGGCTTGTTCCGGATCTACCCAGCCTTGCTGCCCTCACTGCTCTCACACCTCAGCAGTTGTTGTCCCACCCGTCCTGGTTCAGTCAAGCTCAACCTCCTCGTTGCTTCTGTGGCTTTCAGATGCAGACAGCTTTATAAAACCAGCAGCAGGAGGCTGCAGGACAAGTGGCGGTGAGCTGCTTCCTGGGGCCAGGCTGCCCTCCTACCCTCCACACTTGCAAAGGGCCAGGTGCTATCCCCACATGTCCCTAAGGTCCCTGTGTCCTCTGGAGCACAGGTTCCTTGCCCCCAGTGCATGGCCAGGACCAGCTGAGGTGGCACCACACCCTGCTGGGTCCAGCTAGTCCCGCTCACTGCACCCCGCAGGCTCTCTGATCCCCTGGGGCACCTCACTCTTGATGTCAAGTCCTGCCCTCAGGGAGCCAGCTGTCAAACTAGACTCCAGCACTTAGTCCATCTCTGGCTGGAGGCAGCATAGGAAGGGAAATGGACTTTTAAAAAAATAAAGAGCACCTGAAATGTATTTGGACAAAAAGGAATCTTTTTCATTTTAAAAGAAAAACAAAAACAAGCAAAGTGTCCCATGCAGAGGACAGTAGCCCTCTGCTACTTACATTTGCTCTCTGAGGCTGAGAGGGGGGCCACCAGTGGTAGGGGTGGCGGGAAGGACAGGCGGCCCAGCCCCAGCGGTGGGCCCTTCTCCGCTTCCTTATACACAACCTGAAAGACAACCGGGTCACCAGGTAGGAGGGACAGGGCTGAGACCTGGGAGCTGCTATGGGGTGCCCGAGGGTGCTGGGCAAGCAGCTGTGGTGTAACGGTTCCACCTGTGGAGGGAGGCTCTCCAGGGCCACCTGAAGCTGCTGGCAAGTGCCCCTTGAGAAGCGAGGAGCCAGTGTGCAGCTGTGTTCAGACAGCACCCGGTCACTCCTGCAGCCAACCGTGCAGAAGTGAGCAGGGCGTCCACTTCCCTGGTGACGGCAAAGGAGAGTGGGCACCACCAGATGCCAGCAAGCAGCATGCGGAGGAACCGCCCCGAGGAGGTGGTGGGTGTGGCAGGCTCGGGCCTACAGTCTGGATCTTAAAGTCCCCCAAAGGCCCATTTGCTGATGGTCCTCAGCCTGTAGCAACAAGGGGAGGCTGCACCTAGGGGAGGAAGGTAGGTCACTGGGGGCGTGGCCTTAAAGGGGACTGGGACCCAGGCCTTCCCCTCTTGCTCTGCTTCTTGGCCACCACGAGGTAAGCAGCTGTGCCACAGGCTCAAAGCAAGAGGGTTGGGTGGCATGCCTGAACCCTGAGGCCGTGACTTCCCACCTGCAAGCTGTTTCTGCAGCATTCTGTCAGCAGGGAAAGCTGACCAACACTCGGGGTCCTGGTGCAGGGTTCACCTGGTTTAGTGTTTAAGGCACGCATGGTGAGAGGCCCTGGAGAGATGCAGAGGCCACAGGCACATCTTTGGGCCCTTATGGTCAGCCTTCCCTCGGCCTTCCCTCACAGAGCCTCCCTCACCGCTCCCTCCAAGAGGCACCTTCACCTGAGATCACCCATTCCCGGCACCTGCAGCTCCTCTCTGCACCTCCTCCCAGTATTCACCTTGATGTCACCTCCAGGAAGGTCCCTGGCTGGCTGGCTGGCCTGGCCCTGTACCTGCCAGCCACGCCACTCGTATTCTCCTCCTCAGGGCCAGGCAGCCCTAACAGGGAGGCCAGCATTTTTATCTCATCTTCTACCATCACCCACACAGACCAGAGGCCAGGAGGCAGTGGGCACTTGTTGCTGCTGCTGCACAAATGGACACCAAGAGTCCTCTCCATCAGAGGACTTTGTGCTTCCTGCTCCCTGGGAACGTGACCTCCTCAGGCCCTGTGGAGGTGCCCAGCTTTCCCAGCCCAAATGCAGGGGCAGGGGCAGGGGCAGACTCGGGTCCTCTTGGAAGGAGGCTTGAAGTGCAAGTGCAGTAGCTGGAAGAGCCTGTGGGCAGCACAGCTCGAAATATAAGCCTGCACTGACAGAACCAGCAGGGCACAGAAAGATGCAGGTGTGGGGACAATAACATCAGCAGGGTCAGAATTCGAGAGCAGCTCCTCCCCCTCCCCAAACACTGTTCAGACCCCAGCTCAGGACCCGGACTTACTATCTTGGGGTTGTTGATGGCTGCAGGATGCCCGAACTCGGTGATCATTTTCCAAGTCACATGATTAAGGAGGCGCACCTGGAGAAGGAAGCATAGCTGAGGTGAGCCGTGGGGCTAGGCAGGGCCGCTCACTGGGTTCCCACCCCACCTGTCTCCACCTTTCCGTCGTAGCTCCCCACTGCCAGGAACTGACTGCTGGGGCTCCAAGCCACCGACTTGATGCCCAGGGACCACTCGTAAGCACAGTAGGCAGACAGCAGGCGGCCATCCAGGGAATATAGCAGGATCTTATACTGCAGAGGAGACATGCAGGCGTCACTTTCCAGGGAACACACAGCAGTGGCGCTGCAGACTCCTGCAGCCCATGGGGAGCAGCACAGGAGGAAGTGTCCTCCACCTGCCTGTAAAGTGGGATTACATCTCGCAGTGGCACAGGGAAAGGGGAGACTGTGGCATACACCTGACGACAGTCAACTGCAACGAGGCCAAGCCCACTGTCTCACTGTCTGCAGAGAGCACCAGGTGAGGAGCAGGTGGGCGCTCTTAGAAGAGGACGTGTCACTGGGCACACTCCGTACCTCCAAGCAGGTATCCCACACTGCCAGCACACAACCGTTCGGGGCCCACTCGATCCCTGCCAGGTCCTGGGTATCTGTATCGAAATGCTTCCAAGGGGGAGAGGAAAAACATGAAAATCTGCCAATCTTTTCCTAAATAAGTGTTTCTTTTATACATGTATTTTCTTGAGATGGGAGCCCCATCGTGTTGCCCAGGTGGGTCTCGAATGCCTGAGCAAATGCAGAGCTCCTAGAGGCAGTGCATGCTTCCGGCCAGTGCCTTCTCTGTATACTTAATATTTTTAACACTCATGCATTTAATTTTCTGACGCACAAATGAACGAAAATATCTACATTCTGTCCCTGTGGTTAAAATCCCTCCACACAGTGCAAGTGCCAGCAGCAGTGTTGGGGGGCCCACCTCCGGGCGCCTTGCTCCCCCAGGGTGAGGAAGCGCCGTACCCTCAGGAGCTGCCAGTCGCTGCACACGAAGATGCTCACATAGTCCTTGCAGTCCCGCCTCTCTGCCAAGGCCATGTAGCGGCCATCCCTGGTGAAAGTGACCCCTGCCAGGAAGGGGAGAGGACCCAATTAGGAAGTAGCCAAGCAAAAGAAAGGACAGCAGTGGTTTTCAAGGGAGGACGACAAAAGCAAGCGGAGGGCAAAGGGGGTGCCCAGTGGGGAGCCCTCCGGGACACATCCCGCACCTGGTGCCCACCAGCGGGAGCACCACTGGCAAAACTCGGTGTCTGAGAGCTGCTGGGCGGGCCACAGAAGCCCAGGCTCCTCTTCAGCGGGTCAAGAGTCAGTTCTTAGTACATTTCTTTTTTTTACTTTTGAACTTCATTGTTAAGAAGTAAATTTAACATGACTACTTAGAGGGCTGGGGATGTGGCTCAAGCGGTGGCCTGCTCGCCTGGCATGCGTGTGGCCCGGGTTCGATCCTCAGCACCACATACAAACAAAGATGTTGTGTCTGCCGAGAACTAAGAAAAATAAATATTAAAATTCTCTCTCTCTCTCTCTCTCTCAAAAAAAAAAAAAAAAAAGATGACTACTTAGAAAAAAACTTTGGTTGAAAATGTAAAATTGTATTTTCCAGTTCTATATCGCCTCACAAAACCCAGGCCAAGTTTTCAGGTTTTGTGAATAAAAAGGTCACCTTCAGGGCCGGGGCTGGGCTGAGTGGTGGAGCGCTTGCCTGGCATGTGTGAGGCTCTGGGCTCCACCCTTTGCTGCACGTAAATATAAATAAAATAGAGGTATTTTGTCCATCTACAACTAAAAAATTTAAAAAAGAGAAAAAAGAAAAGAAACCACCTCCAATAACTTATGACTTCCACTCGGGCAGTGCGCACCTCCTCAGCAGAGCTGCTAACATTCAAACTCTACACATCAAAAATAATCACACAATTGCACTTTCATGCCAATGCAATTCCCAGATTGCTGATACTGAAAAACAGTAACGCCATCAAACCGTCCAGTCGGGTAACACTACTTCCCTCTGTCTCGACAGATGCAGCAGTCACTAGTCCTGCCCGGCATGCTGGGTGCGTCTGCCCAGCAGTCCACCTCCTCCCAGAGGCCTTAATGGGGACAGGGCCCCCATGCCTTAGCCTGCCCCTGGGTGTGACCAGCTCAGAGAAGTCCCAGAAGAGCCAGTGACTCGACACTCATGTGGATGCTGAGCTGTGTCCTTGCCAGGCACCAGCTGGAGGGTCTGACCACCCGCTCTCTCGAAGGCCAGGGTCTCCTGTGAACTCCACTTTTATCTGAAGTCTGCCTGGCTTCCTCTTGTCACCCAAATGGTAGCAAAAGGGCCTTGACTTTTACAGAGAAAGATGGGAACATGCCTGGGAGACACTTCAAGTATACAAGGGCTGAGTGGGGACAGGAAGAGGGTCCACTAGGAGCTGGTGTGCTGCTGAGTTTCTAAGTTGGAAATATTCCATGGAAGAAAGTCCCCAAATCCCCAAACAGATGCAAAGAAGTAAGTTGGAGCGGCTGTGGCAGACTCACCCTGCTGACAGGCTTTGGGATACTTGATGTAAGACACGGACTTTGTACACAGGGACCAGACAGTTATCCGCAGCTATTGGGGAAATGGGAGAGAGAAAGGAATTGGCACGTACTTAGCATCTTCAGAAAGCCTGTCCCGAATCATAAACCAGATCACCAGTCCCAGGAAAAGATTTACTGACACAAGGCTACTGATCCTTCCAGGGACTCTTCTCTACAACTGTGTCCAAATGCAAAGTTTACTGTCCTCCTACTAATGTTCTTAGAATTGTGTTCTGGAATGATATTGTCTGAGTGAGCCAAGTCAAGTGGGTGTGTTTCTAAACGCTAGCTCTCCTGGCTTGCATATTACGACAGGCACAGAGATGTCTGGATGGAGAAAAGTCTTGACCCAGAAGAGCCTCTTTCAGCCTCTAGAGCACTGTGTGGAGTCAGGTGGTTCTGGCTTAAGTCCCTGGGACAGCTGCAGCCTATTGAGGGGTTACCAAGAACAGGACCCTAAGGGCCCTGGTTACCAAGAGGAGGACGTTAAGGGCCGTGCCTTCTGCAGAAGAGCTCCGGGGCCACCACTGTCACTGCTCCCCACCTCTCCTCTCCCTCCCCTGGTAGCCGGGAGGTGACCACTGTTGCTATTTCCACCACCCCTCTCCCTCCCCTGGAGGTGACCAGGCTGGTACAAAAGGCCAAGAGAAGACAAGGTCCCAACAAGGGACTGAGGACACCTGCACCAAGGGGAACAGCCCTGGATGGGAATCTGACCTTCTGGGATGTAACATCAAATTCTACGTGTGTGCCCGGCCACACCTGATTATATGCTGACCCTCTATAACCCCACCCCTGTGGAGCAGACAAGAACAACTTGTTTCTGTAAAGGTTCTCCACGCCCTTCCCACTGGGCAGCGCGACAGCCTCTGATCCTCAGGTCCCACAGCTGCTCTGCTGCATAAGGAGGGCTGTTGCAGCATGAAGTGCAGCAAGTGCCGGGCACAAGGAGCTGGGTGGCACTCCACAGCCCTCCTACGAAGGATGTGGCCCCAAGGGCACTCAGTCAGGTAGGTGCCACTTGAGGATGCAGTGTGCCCGTTTCTGTGCCAGCGCGACTCAGAAAATGCTGCCTGCTTTCAGTTCATCAGGTTAAAACTCAACTAACTCGATTTCTCCACATCATCCCTCCTAAAAATAAGAAAGAAAACCAGACCGAGGCCGCTGTGTCTGGGAGCCCATGGGCACGTGGACGCCTGCACACAGTGTGGAGGAGTGACAGCAGGCACTGCCCTCTTGTGAACTTGAGCACTGAGGACAGGGCTCATCCTCCAGAGCCTCTGCCACGCTGAGGCCTGGGGAGGGTGGTGTGGAGTAGAGCAGGAGTCCCATGAGGAGAGCAGGGAACCGTCTTCACCAGAGGCAGACTGCCCAGTGGCAGGCCAGGTGCCCCAGGCCCGGAGTGCAGGAGTGGAGACCACCCCACAGAGCAGACTGGACAACTCAACGAGAAACTTATACACCCCGGAGCACAGGCAGGTGTCAGAGACAGCATCTGCCGCCTGCACCTTACGGAGGCCCCAGCAGGAAACGCACTTAGCCTGGCTTCTGCCTTCAACCCACCAGGAACAAAGAAGTTTAGAAACCTCCAGGAGGAGGGCTGGGGATATAGCTTAGCAGCACTCACGAGGCCCTGGGTTCTATCCCCAGTAAACACACACACACACACACACACAAAAAAAAAAAAAATCCAGTAAGAAAAAAAGTTAGGGGGCCGGGCACAGTGGTGCTGGCCTGTAACCCTGGCAACTTGAAAGGATGAAGCTCAAGGATCATAGTTCAAGGCCAGCCTCAGCACCTTAGAAAGACCCTGTTTCAAAATAAAAAGGGTTTGGGATGTGGCTCATGGGTAGAGAGCCACCGGGTTCCTCAAAAAAGAAAAGGAAAGAATACACCTGTGTCAACTCTATCCGCTCCACTGACAGCTGAAGAAGCATGCTGGCCCTGGGCACAGGCCACTCTATGGCCACTTCCATCAGAAGACAGCCCACAATGGCACAGGGGCCATGCAGAAGGGTTCAGAAGCACTCGGCAGCAGGAGGGTGGCCACAGGACACCATGACGGGATGGTGCAAGGGGGTGCCAGAGCTCTGGGCAGCAGACGGCTCCAGCAGGCAAAGCCTCAGAGATGGAGGCTGCAGGTGACGGGCAGGACAGGGACAGCGATGAGGGGTCCCATACTATGGGGCCGAAGTCCTTAGCCCTGCTCACCCAGGACTACCTGCAAAACAACCTCCAAACTGCAAGCATCAAGTGGGTGGGTTTGACTGCCTGTGAAATACGTTGTCTTCTCACAGGGCCTCGCTCCTGCTAGGCAAGGCTCTGCAGCTTACTCACACCTCTAGCCCTCGTTTTTCCCCTAGTCCACTACAGGCTACTTACTACATCCACACTAACATGTAAGGGCACGAAGGGTTGGGAGGGGGCTCAGAGGTAAAGCCCTGGCCTGGCACATATGAGCCCGTGTGTTCCATCCCCAGAACAATAAAAATAAAAGTAAATAAATACATAATGTGAAACCTCAACCACTTAAAGTGGGACACAGGCACTTAAGTGGACCAACAATGGAAGAGACTGAAAATCAGAAATGATCCTGAGGGCATAAAGGAATTCAGTACTTAGACCACGGTGAAGATGGATGAAGTAATTATTTAGAGTAAATAACTCAGGGAAGAGAACACAATGGGTCCATACCTCATACCACACACAGCTATACACTCCACTTGTCTAAATTACCGTGTGTAAAACAAGATACGAAAGTACTCGACCTCATCAATAATTAAGGACATGAAATTAAACCAGAGTGAAGGCCAGCACAGTTCCACTGGATCGCAAAGCTCCGTCCAGAGAGATGAACACATCGGTGCTGACCAGGCAGGACCCTCCCACAGATTCTGGATATGTTACAGGGGGTATGAACCACAGCATGACAGCCCTGTGCCTCTGACAACCCAAAATGCCCCGAAACAGAATGGCTAATAGACTGTGGCATGGTTTTTCTTACAAAGAATGAACGAACTACATGGGTGAATCTAAAAACAACGCTGGGCGATCTGTGAAGCAAGCACAGGGCCATTTAAATGAGCTGCAGCCACTGCAAACCAAACATCTGTGCAACACATATGATGCCCCCCAGAAGAGCAAGGAAACGATTAATGCCAAGTGCCGGCTGAGGAGTGGCCCTGGAGAGGAAAGCAGGACTCCAGGCTTGACAGCAATCTGCTGTCCTCTGTGGCCTGCGGAACCACACAGCCTTCTTACTGACACGCAGGAAGCAGAGCCTCCTCTCACCCTCTGCAACACCCTCCTACAGGGTTGTGCATCTGGAAGGGTCCAGTGGCACAGGTCTGAGAGTGTTCTATCCTCCCTTGTCAACTAGACTGAGGCACAGGTGACCATCGGGTCAATTCCTGGCCAGGGACATCTGCATCCTGTGTTGTTCTTCACTGTGGCAATGGAAGTCTGCTTGACTATTGGGGTCAGTTTCAGTATTGTCTCAGGGTGCCCCGTGCCATGAGGTTCCTGGTGTTCCTCCACCCCTCATCTCGACATTTACTCTAATGTCACCTGCAAAGTGGCCACAACCTTGGTCTTAGGTTGAACAGTGTCATCCAAATGCACTCTAGGCAAGTAATTGATTCTGTATAAATTATGTTTCAGAATTAATATATGTGTAATGTGGGATACACAATAAAGCCATTTCTTTAAGGTTTATGAACTCTGTAGATAATAACTTTTCCTTTTGAAAATTTTAAGTTAAAAACCTAGTGTCACAAATAAAAGGAAAAAAAGGTGTTTTCTTCAAAATTGGCCTAAAAGGTTATCCAGTGCTTCTGGGATAGGACTTTTGATAGACATGCTGCTCCAGAGCCCAACAGTGACAGTCCCAGGCCCCTTGGGAGCAGAGTGTGGGCTCCCACTAGCTGACAAGGCTCACAAGGCCTGACACTCACATGGAATTCTGTTGTGTTCAGAATGTGGCGCCCGTCTGGGCTCCAGCACGAGGCCACCAGCCCTGCAGAGCCCTCGTCGATCTTGCAGTGCCACTCTGGCTGCTCCAGAGACCAGACCTGGATTTGCAAAGAGACAGATGCACCATTAGGGACCAACTGGCACACCCAGCATGCCTTCTCCTAGGGACCGTCCACTGCACTGGATCAAGATAGGACAGCTCTGGAGTCTGCCCTCAGGAAGCACTGGCTCTAGGCCCATGGCAACATAAGCTCGCTTCTGGGCGATCTTCTCTCGCTATCCTGTAAAACGAAGTATCCAGGTTGCCCTCCCAGGCCCTCACTGAGCTGCTGTGGGTATGTGACAAAGCACTGCCTTATCTAGCACTGCCTGAAACACACAGCACCCCAGCATTAGACTGCAGTGGCAAATACCTCCATTTCTGGAATTATATTTGCTTAGAGACCAAGAATATTCTAGGGTTTACTCATTTTTCAAGTATTAAGGAGGCTGGGATTATGGCTCAGCAGTAGAGCGCTCGCCTAGCATGCACGGGGCCCTGGGCTCGATCCTAAGCACCACAAAAAAAATTAATGAATGGAATAAAGGTATTGTGTCCAATTACAACTAAATAAATAAATAAATAAAATTTGAAAAATAAAAAATAAATTAAAGTATTAAACTATTAGAGGAACATTATAATTATAAAAGAAAACTGACTTTGAGCTGCACTGCCACTGTTTTCCAAACTGGAAGACATAACACTGGTGACACGACACTCCCAGGGAGGTTTCCTAAGTCTGACCCCAACACGAGAACACACACCTGCACAAGCCCCCGTCTGTACATGGCACAGAGGATGAAGAGGGAGTCTGCCGACCACTCTATGTGCTGGATCTGGTCCAGGCAGGTGTACAGCTGACGGATCTGCAAGGTGCTCACGTCCCGGACGACTAACCGGTACTGGACACAGGAGGCCTAAAAGACATAAGTGAGCAAGCATGGACTCTTCTGCTCTACAGGAGGGGCATGGGGCATCGGCGTGGCCCTGCATTCAGCGCCATCTCCTTCCCCTGCCTCATGAGCTTTATGTTACACAGCTTCATGTCTACACAGCTTTGCTACACAGCCTCATGTCTACGTGGCTTCATGCCGCACAGCAATCACAGAGCTCATTCCCAAAACAAGAGGAGGTAATACAGAGACTGAAGCTGAAATATACAAAGTAGGTTTTATTTTATTTTTTTTTAATATTTATTTTTTAGTTATGGTTGGACACAATATCTTTATTTTATTTATTTATCTTTATGTGGTGCTGAGGATTGAACCCAGGGCTTCACATGTGCTAGATGAGTGCTCTACCACTGAGCCACAATCCCAGCCCACAAAGGTTTTAAATTGTTAGGCTCCACTACTGACTTTATCACTAGATACTACACATGTCAAATTATCACTGCACCTGATAACTCTGCAATTAAAATAAAATTAAAGAAATAAACTATGCTCTAGTATAAAGTGTGAGACTATTAAGACTCTACTTAAAGCACTTCTACTCCTTTCTTAAGTTAATACTAAAAACTAAGCCCAAGTGGGACAGAATACTGGGAAAAGCTCTTGTGTGACTTAATAACCAGAGCCTTTCCTACTGTCACTTCTAGACAGTTTCCTCAAATTTATGAAGAGTTAAAACCCCAGGGCTCAGGGCTGTTGGTGAAAAGCCCTTTACATGGCACCACTAGCCAACCCAGAACAAACCAAAAGTGAACACATGTGACTTGTCCCTGTCACTGAACATCAAAAAGTCTGTTTTAAATGTATTTTCTTAAATGTTTCTTAAATATTTCTTTATGTCCATATTTATGCAAATAATTTCTGAGTAACCACCTGCTGACTATATATTATAGACTAAAAACCAAGACTGGATTTTTAAATGTTAATTGCTTGGGCTGGGGATGTGGCTCAAGCGGTAGCGCGCTCGCCTGGCATGCGTGCGGCCCGGGTTCGATCCTCAGCACCACATACAAGGATGTTGTGTCAGCCGAAAACTAAAAAATAAACATTAAAAAAATTCTCTCTCTCACTCTCTCTTTAAAAAAAAAAAAAAAAACATGAACAGACATTATAAAAAAAAAAAAATGTTAATTGCTTCATTTCTGTACTTATCAAGGTCAAACTAGACTTATTAGCTTTATTAACTTCCACAAAGAAAGCCTCATTGGTGGGGAAAAAAAGAAAAAGGGAAGGTGGTGATTGCAGATTTGAAGAGACAGCATCACAGTACTTATTTTCTCACACTGTAGCTTCCACAGCTCTGATTAGTTACAATGAATTCCTTAAGAAATGGAAACTTTGGCACTCACAAGCACCATCTGATATCTATAGCATGATACTAAAACTGGGCTTTCAAGAACAGGATTCCAGTAACAAATTATTACCAAGTGTTCCACAATATTCTGATGAGGGCACACAAACCAAAAAGCAAATATAATCATTCTCCTTATAAATCAATGAAACTTTCATAAATGGATTAAAAAAAAAAAAAAACCTAATTTGTGGAGGGGGCACTTTGAAAAACATACCAAGGTTTCTGGATGCCACTTTAAGCTAATGAAATTTTGTACTTTGTAGCTGAATACTATTGTATGTGATTTAGAATAATACCTCCATAAAGAAAGTAAACATGCATTTTGGGAGTTATATTCTCAAAGGTCTAGACAAAGACAACAGAAATGTTAATAAAGATGCAAGATAACAGGAATGCTAACAAAGGTGCAAGCTGAAAAAGAATCAGAAAGCATCAGTTGGTTAATACAGGGCAGTGAACAAAAAAAATGAAGCACACTTTCTTTAAGGCCTGATGTTTTTTCTTTAATCGTTTCCCAATATCAATTATTTTCCCCACTTCTTAGGATATACAATGGTCATATTGCTTTATTTCAAAATTTGAAGTTGTAGCTCTGCAATTTAAGCATTGTCACCCATGGAATGAGCTGTTCAAGTCTAGCCTTGAGGGCATTACTTGAATGTGGTGAGGACAGGGAGGAGAGTTGACAACAAAGTAGCCATATTATTTACCAGTTAACAGACAACTTTTGTGACAAAGTAACAATCAGCTAACATCTTCTGGACTCTCAAGTGAGTGAAAGAGACACAGCTTTATCCCTAATCCGCCTTTGACAGCCAAAAACAGCTATATGGAGTCACCTGCCCAGATCCCTTTCTAGTCTGGAGAACCAGCCCAGGATCCCTTCTGCCTGGAGTTGCACACCTGCACACCGAGCTGCAGCTCGGGGTCCAGCACACCTGCTCAGTCCCCCCCCCACCCCGCCGCCTGGAACTGCACACTTGCCCAGGTTCACCTCCAGACTGAAGCACTTGCCCGGATGGCCCTTCTGTCCAGGGCTACGCACCGGCTCAGGACCCTTCCTGCCTGAGACTGTGCACCGTCGAGTACCCCTCCTATGCGAAGCACCTGCTCAGGACGCCTCCCGCCCCGGGGCTGCGCACCTGCCTAGGACGCCTCCCGCCCGGGGCTGCGCGCCTGTGCAGGACCCCTCCGATCCGGGGCACCCACCCCAGAGCTCCTGCCTGTTCCCGCCCCGCTCAGCCCGCGGTGCCGGGATCCGGAGCAGCGTCCGCCCGGGCTCCCGCCGCGGGCGCAGGGCGCGCGCCGCCGCTCACCAGGTACTTGCCGTCCGGGGAGAACCTGCAGAGCAGGCTGGAGAGCTTGAACGCCTCGGAGAAGTTCATGGCCGCCGGCCGCCGCGGGCCCGACCCGCGCCTGACAGCCCGCGGGGACCCGCCGCCCGCAACCGCCTGGCCGCGGCCGGAAGTAAGGTGGGGAAGGCGGCCGGAAGTGGGCGGTGGAAGGAGGCTGCAGCCTATGGGCGCTGCGGGCGGCCGCGCAGCATTGTGGGGCCAGGAGTCCGCGCCCCGCCCGGCGCTTAAAGGCGCCGCCCGCCGCTCATCCCTTCGCGGTCCCAGAGATCGACGTCGGGTCGGCGAGACCTCGGATCACAGACAGCTGGGGCTGCAGACAAGATGCAGGACGCACGGCTAAATTCAAATTTCAGATAAACAACGAATCATTTGTAATATAAGCACGTTCCCAAATATCGCGGGACAAATTACTGGCTTATCTAAATTCAAATTTATTCAATATGTATCTGGGCACTCTCTCTCTCTCCGTAAACATATATTTATATATTAGTACATATATTCAATATGTAACAGTGTCTGCCACAATTATTTTATTTATAACGTATAAATAAGTATCTGTCTTTGTTTTCTTTTGCTAAGTCGAGCAACTACCTGCAGCGTGACTTTCTTCTCATGCTCAGGGGCTTTTCAGATCGAGGACAGAACGAATTCGAGGCTTACCCCGCCGAACGAATGTGTGGATCGCGCGCATTTCATTCCAAGCGCACTTGGGCTTAGATGCGCGGGAACTAGGATGCTTCAGGGCCCGCACCCGGAGTCCACCGTCTGTCTTGGCAGGGAGATGGCCCTGCGCCGGCACTGGCTTATCCCGACGCTCGCTCCGAGTGCCATGTCTCGTCTTCTCGTCCTCTCGCAACCCCAGAGCCTCTTTCCGGGACAAAACCTTCCCAACTCCCTCGCTCACTCAAGTCGTTAGTTGTCCCCGCCGGTCCCAACAGAGGCTGTGCCTCTGCAGCCTTCTGGGTCGCGCAAATCCTGACATCCTCTGTGTTCTGAGAGAGGAGCCACGGCCTGCGTCCCTCTCGCACCTCTTAGCGCCCCACCCCCAACCCCACGTCTGTGTATCCAACTTCTCTTGAAGGAACGCCCAGGGGTGCCTAAACGCGTCAGACCCAACTCCCTGAGTAGAATTGGTTTTTGAGCTCCTAAACCAAGCCTTGCAAACAGTAAGTGAGCAATAACTATATATGGAAGTCAGCAGGGCCAGGGCAAATGGGGTCCCGTACCGCAGGAGAAACCGGTTTGCACCAGCCCAGCTCACTGGCAATGCCAGGGGCTACACTGCGGGGACCTCCCAAGGGATGGAGGTCACCATGAGAAAGGGGCATCAGTGCAGAGCTAGGTAACGGGTCCCATGAGCATCGGAGGCAGTGCAAGGCAAACTCGCCCTCTGTCTGGTTCTGCAGCCTAGTCCCTAAGAAGCCCAATCAGGGCCTTAGAGGCTCTCATTTGCCCAGGAAAAGCCGGCTGCGACCGCGGCAGGTGTCTCAGACCAGAGCGGAGTCGCCCATTAACCCAAAGCTGTGTGCGAACCCAGAGCAATTTCAAGCTCGTGAGCACCAGCGTTGCCGAGTAAACCCACTACACGATTTCGGAATCATAGAATCCGGTGCCCGGGATCTGGAGGCGGTGACCGTCCAGGGACCAAGCAGGGTGCAGTGGAGTCATTCCCTGTGGTTGGTGGGACACAGCTCCCGCTGGGAGAGAATGGTCATATCCAAAGTATCTCTGTGGGATCCTGTTTGCCTGCGGAGTCGAGCCGCAGCTGCGTGGCTAGGATATGCGAACCGAGGGTGGCGTCCCCTTCTTCCCCAGCCTGGGGCCGCAGCCCTCAACCCTGTCCCCAGTCTGCCACAACCAGTGCAGAACGAGGTGGGGCATCCCTAACCAGCGTGGTGGACTTTTCTCTCCCCTTGGAGACCACACTCACGGCAGCGGGAGCAGCGCGGGGAGATGGAGTGTCGGGGCGTTGGGGAGAGGAGACCGTCGGAGGTAATCCAGCACGCAGAAGAGTGGAGTCTGCCCCATGACCATGTCCCCACCGCGGCTCGCGCGCGCCCTGGCTGACGCCCTCAGACCTGCCGAAGGTCGCAGTCCAGTCTCCTTAGCCCTAGGGCCCCGGCGCCGACCTGTGTGCAGCCCTGCTCCAGCGACCCCCGCGGGGCTCAGCAGGGGCCACGCGCGCCAAACAGCGGCGGGAAAGAGGCGGGGCGGAGTGCGCTCCGGGACCCCGACTGCGCTCCCCGGCCAGCTGGGGAGGCGGAGCGCGGGTAGAAGATCAAGGCCCCAGCCGGGCCCCGCCGCCCGGCCCTCCTCGCGCCACGGCTGAGTGCCCGCGCTGCCTTCCCGCCGCCGGGCTGCGAAAGGCGCTAAGGCTGGCGGCCGCCCCCCTCCCCGCGGCGCCTCCCCTCCCCGCGCCCATATAACTCGCCGCCGGGCCCGGCCGCCCGCCCTGCCTCCTGGCCCGCGGCCGCCGGTCCGCACCCGCCTAGAGGCCCGCGAGCCGCTCGCGCCCGCCCTGCGCCAACCAAGGGTGCGCGGCGAAGCCCAGGCCAGCTCCAGGCCAGCTCCAGGCCTGCTCGGACGCGGATTATCTCGGGCTTCTGCTGCACCAGGTAGGCAGCGCTGGAACCGGCTCCAGGGGTCAGCCGTGCGGTTCCGCCCCGCTCGGCTTTCTAGGAGGGATCGCTGGGCGGCAGGCGCCCGGGCTCGCGTCTCTGAAGCTAGAAATCAGGGATGAGAGGGAGCCTGGGCAGGAGCTGGAACTGTGACACGAGGGTCCCTCGGAGTTCTTTCTGCATGGGGACTCGGCTTGAGGGGCGGGAGGCAGCGGGAGTCGAGTCTTCAAGGAGATGCGGGGTTTTGCCAGCAGCGCCGGCAGACTTGGGAGCCGAGGGCTGGCCCGCGGGTTTGGGGAGGGCCTTGCTGTTCTTGCCCCTCTCCGGCACACCCAGCTGGCGAGGTTCGGCTCGGAAGGCTATCCCGGGAAGACGCTAAGTCTCGGGTCGGTTGCGGGTGGAAACAGGAGACACCCGGAGCCGACAAGCTCCTCCCCGCCGGCGTCCACTCCCTGGGCACCCGCGAAGTGCGTACCAATCCAGAGGCGTTAGCGCCCCCGACTCCCCGCAAGGCCGAAGGCGACCCAGGTCCTTCAGTGGACCTGGGGGATCCACCCGCGCGAGCCTTGACCGCTAGGCTGGCCCAATGGAATGGGTTGCTAGATGGACTGGCGTTTCTGAGTTTGGGAAGAGGGGGTCCTGACCTGCCTTCTGAGTCTGTTCCAGGCTGGGAAATAAGGCCCGGGGCTGACTTCCTGGCCTCTTCCAGCAGCCACGGTCCTTCTGGGCAGGGGCAGCTACTATTACCTTGCTGCTCAGCTGGCGTTTTCCTCCTGCCCTTCAGGAATGAGCACACACATATGCACAAGTCGTCGTAAATAGAGGGGTGACAGGTAGACGTCTTCAACCGGCCAGGGTCAGGGAAGCAGTGCTGGGGACTTTGAGGGGGCCACCTTTCTCCCTGCTTGTGCTGTTTATTAACTAAGTGAATGCCTTGGACCTGGGTCTCAGTAACACAGTATTTGGGTTTGTTGTTGTTTGTTACCATCATTGCTGTTTATTTGTTTTGTCTTGATAGTTAGCTTTGGGGTGGGGGCAAGTAAGCAGAAACAAAATGAATGATCCCTTTCTGCACTGAGATCTGAGCACCTCCATCCTTTGATCTATTCAATAAAAGAGGGTGGGGGAGCGCTGGAGAACAAAAGAGAAGTGTTTGAAATTATACAGTATGCAAATTTATGAATTATATATATATATATATATATATATATATATATATATATATATATATATATATATAATTTTAAAATAAGATAAAAAGTCAGGCACCAAAAGCTGCAAAAGCGCTGTTCCAGTTAGTCTGGCTGCCTGAGCTGCACTCCAGGGGGCCTGGGGCAGGGCTGGCCCATCAGTGCAGGCACTTGTGGAATGGGCATGTGGTGCTGAGCCTGTCAAGGGGGTCATCCGTGAAGGCTATGGGGGGACAGGTAGCTGTCTCCTAATTCTGATGAGCAGCCCTGTTCAAAAGTCTGTCTGGTGTAGAAGTCAGAACGTGGGGTTCACATCCTCTTCTTGCCCTTGGACCTCAGACAAGTGACTTAACTTCTTGGAGGCTCAATTTACCCCTTTGCAAAGTAAGGTCGTAACAGTCTCCACCTTAGTGGATTGGGAGAACTGAACAAGATGCCACACCAAAAATGCTTGGACGGTGCCTGACATCCAGTAAGTGGCCTCAGCTGTTTCTTGGTCCAAGGTGCTGCTTCAGGACTGAGAGGGCCAGGAACCTTAAAGGAAGAGCCAGTTCACCGGGAGGGAGCCCAGGCCTTTCCCCAGGGGGTGGCAGGGAGGCTGGAATCTGCCTGGGCCTGGGCGGAGGCTGGTGGCATCTGTCAGGGGTATGTCCCATGGCATGGGTGCCTCAGTCTGGTGTTTATTTATAGAGCACGCCCCACCCAGGCCCAGGAATGGATTTCTAAGGTTGAGCACATGGAAATGAGCACAGCAAAAATAGAGATGCACAGGGGAGACCCAGGACCAAGAGAGAGACAAAGGTTCCAGAACCAGAAGGAGGCCCTGTGGGCTCCCAGGGACCCACAAACCAGGAGACTCTGAGTGCCCCAAAGTGAAGTCACTTCTGTGGGTGCATGAAGAGCTTCCTATGCATCTCAGTGGGAGACAGCTTTCCACCGCCAAGTTCAAGGGCGACTTATCATCTGCAAAGTCACAGGAACGATGCTGTGTACCTGGGCTGGGGTTTGCAAACAATCAGAAAACCCCTTATAAACAAGCACCATCCAGGGGGCTGTGGTTGTGGCTCAGTAGTCCAGTGCTTGCCTTGAATGTGTGAGTCACTGAGTCACTCAGCACCGCATATAAATAAATGAATAAAATAAAAGTCCATCAGCAACTAAAAAAATTAAAACAAAACGAAACAAACCCAAAGCACCTCCACCTGTGGCTGCAGCTTGCCTGTCACTGTTCCCAGTCGGAGCTTTATTTTCCAATTTGGTGAGAGCTAAGTCAGTGTTTTAAAATATCTGACAAAAAGGAAAGAGAGCCCAA